TTTTTTTTTTTTACTGCTTTGCCAATCTTAGAAAAAGATTTTCTGGATTCTTCACCAAGATTGTCCTTACCAGCTGTTACATCCAAGGCTGCTGTGGTGCAAAGCATGGATAAAAATACATCTGCTGTGACAGCATCCAGGCTCCTGGAAAAGTAATTTTGAAATTAAATTTCACTGTTTGGGGTATTCATAATTTAAACTATATTGAATGCTGATCATTTCTTTTAAAGTTTTTTATTTTTACAAGCCATCTGTTTACTGTGGTTTAGGCTAGTAGTAATATAAAAATTGCTCAATACCTATCTTTAAATGCAAATCAGTGTATGGGATAGATTCATTCTACGTTCTCTTTTAGAACTATGTAGGGACGACTTTAAATGTTTATTAGAATTGTGGGCATATACAATATTTTGATTTCTATATAAAAGTCATTGGATTTTGCTGAACAACAAACCACCCTAAAGTGCCTACAACACACACATTTTTCTTATGATTTTGTGGGTTAGCTAAGCAGTTCTTCTCCTGTAGGCCAGAGAGACCTCAAGTGGGAAGGCTGATCTATCTGAGGTCTCCTTATAGCTTGTCTCTCACTCTCCTGGAGCAAGCTCAGGCTTTTTCACGTAATGATGGCACCGTTCCCAGCAAAAGGTACAACTGATTTTCAAAGGCCTGTTTCTCACACTTGCTGGTGTCTTAGGGACTAAAGCAACCATGAAGCTGGCCCAAATTAAAGGGATGGAGATACGGACTTCACTTTTTCATGGGAGGAGCAGGAAAGTCATATTCCAAAAGTCATATTGCTGATAGGGATGAGAAGGATTAGTGGCAGTTTTGCAAACATATAACATATAGCAAGGTATGTTCACAGAAATCTTACTCTCATTTCTATTCTTCGCTCTGACCTATTTCTCCTGCAAATTACCTTGTCTTTTTAAAAATACTGGTTTTATCAACATATAAATCATAGACTGTGCAATTCAGTGGTTTGAATATATTAAAAAGAATGGTACAATCATCACCACAACCAATTTTGGAACTATTTTTTTTTCTTTTCATTTTTGTACTTGGTTATTAATTTCTTGTTCCCTCCAATCTCCCCTCCTATAATCCCAAGAAATTATTATTCCAGTTATTGTGTATAGATTGACCTATCCTGGATTTCTTATAAAGAAAATCATGCCTCCCCGCAAAGCACACACACCAAAAAAACCCCCAAAAAAGAAATACAGAAAAACCTCAATCAAAACTAACACAGACAATTATAGAAACCATAACAACTTAAAAATGAGTCAAAAGGGAAAACAGATAAGATGCTAAAATTTAGCCCGTGTATTCATTCACTTTATGATGCTCTGTCAGAGGTCAAAGTGACTCACTTCCCTGATCAATGGCCTGAAGAACTTTAGCAGAAGCTTAATCCTTGTGAAGACTCTGCAGTGGATTTTGCTCCTTTACTGTCATCCATAGCCTTCGGTAATCTGGGTGCTCAGAATTTAAACTTTAATACAATTCCCCCCCTTTAATCTTTGATTTTATATTTATAATACTTGGATTACACATGCTTCTTCCGTATGAGCTTAGCTGACTCCTCACTTAGATGGCTCCAAATCATTTTATACAGATCTTTTTTCCTTTTTATATCTACATAATATTCTATCTGTGTTAGTCTGGGTAGACTAGAGAAACAAATCCAGGGAGACTCATATATGTATAAAAATGAGCTTTATATACAGGAGCAGTTGAATATTGAGAAAATATCCCAGCCCAGTCCAGATCAAGTCCATAAGTCCAATATTAGCTC